TCTGCAGATTCCGTGGTGGGCCTCATGGTCTACAGTAAGCCCCTTGAAGTTGGAAACGGGATTAAGCCCAAATAGAGCGGGGATTCCCTATACAGTACTTTTCAGGATTGAGGCTATACGGTTTCCAACTTTTAGGCTTCTACTGTATGCTTTGTGGGAGAGGGAAGCTGTTACCTCAGAAGGACAGATATCCATCGTAGCTGACAAGAATTCCTCGAGTAGCAGCCTTTAGCAGAAGTACTGCGTTCTTCGGGCACTACGTGACACATCGTCAGAACCCGGAGTTAAGTCCCAACACTAAACCCTAGAACGCCTAGACCCTGCCCAAGTAGTTCCGTTTGGGATTACCTTATAGGATTCCAGATATGAAAACCCCAAAAGGAAGTACTTTGGAGCCCTAAGGTACACCCAAAAATCCAAATTTGAGGCAAAGCCTCGCTAAGCTGTGCGCCGCTGCTGGGCAAAGCTCGATGCAGTACTGTTCAATTTAGCATCTCAAAGGACGTCGTTTGCCTCTTGATTCGGGGTTTAGGGCTTCAGGTGATGGGTGTCGGAAACCCTACCCTTAAACCACAAAAACATACCACTTAGTGTTCTTTGTCATTCCTTACATGCCCTTGAAATGAGAAAGTTGCTGGGATTCGAGTGTACCCTAAACCCTAAACCCTAAACCCCTAAACCCTGCAGCCCTAAAAATGCAAAGATTTCGGCTCCCCCTGGGCCTAAGGGTGAACCCCTTATCCTATAGACCCATGTTTAAGGCTTTGGGTTTAGGCTTTAGGGTTGAGGGTTGAGGATTTATAGGGCTCAGGGTTAAGAGGGCTTAGGGGTTCGAGTTTTCTTGGGTTTCTGCGCCGAAAAAGAGCTCTTCAACCTGAAGCCGTAAAGCTCGAAACCCTAAAGCCTCTCCTCCGGGAGACTAAAGCCGCCTGCAGCCTTCTGAGAAATCTATACGGGAGCTTCCGAAAATTAGGGGTACCTCATTATGGTGTCCTTCTGAAAAATCTATACGCCTCCAGCACTGCGGTTGATGATATAAATCCTGCATGACCCATCATGAGGAATATACCATTACTCCCATTGCTTAGGGTCCTTCAGGTAATCCAGGATTTATATCATCAACCGTAAATCGACATAAGTACGCAGAACTCAACCAGCGGCAGTATCTCCGGAGCCTTTGCGTTCTCTGTGACCCTGTTGTCCAGCCCCAAAACTAATCATTGAACCATAGACACAGAAACCTCATGTAGCCGTCATACCATCGTCCTTTGAGATGTAGCCCGAAGCAAGGGGGAACACTGAATAAGGCCGGGCAAGAAGACGAGGCGTTCGCAGACTTCAATAGTTGCATCTATAAAGCATACGGATAAGGGCTTGGCGCATGAAGGGCTTAGGGTGTTTAAGCTGGGTCTTGGTGAATAAGTGACTAGGATCCAGAGCGAAAGATGTCTACGACAACTACATACACGTGCGGAATAACAAAGCCAGACTGCTCCCGCACAACTGGCTCTTGCGACTAAGCACTCCGCACTACTGGTCTTTCCTATACCCCCCTTAAACCCTAAACCCTAAACCCTGACCCCGCACCCCATAGTGCCCCTTGAACAGGAACCCGAAGAGCGACCCTACAAAGGAGCCCCTAAAGCTCTGCTTCTCGAGGCTCTGGGTTTTGAAACCTAGGGATTCAGGGTTTAGGGATTTAGGCTTTAGGGTTTAGGTGATTTAGGGTTTAGGGATTTATAGGGTTTATGGATTTAGGGTTTAGCGATTTAGGCTTTAGGGTTTAGGTGATTTAGGGTTTAGGGATTTATAGGGTTTATGGATTTAGGGTTTAGGAGTTCAAGCAAATTTAGCGTTTAGGGTCCAGCTTGAGGACCTTAAGGTTTTGTGGGATTAGGGTTCTAGTTGGTCAAAAAAATCGCAGGGGTACTATAGCTTTAGGGGCTTTATTGGTGGGCTTAGGGTTTGTAGTTTATATAAGTAAGGCTTTCGGCACCTCTATTGATTGCATGCTTGGCTTGGGCATTAGAGCTGTATCTCGGGGCTTTCGGATGTGATTCAAGGCTTGATTTCTGGGTATGATGCAATCAACTTCCGCCATGTCTGCCCGCCACGGCCGAAAATGACCGTCTCGAGACGATGGGATGCCAGCCAGAAAAATGCGCTCACCGCATAAAAAGCCGACCTGTGTGGCGCGTGTTCAAGATTTACTACACCCTGAGGAGGGCTGCGTTTCATAAAGGCTTTAGGATGTTGGGGTCTAGGTTTCGCGGTTTGTTGAAGTAGGGTGTAGGGGTTTAGGGTTTCAGGGTTTCGTGTTTCGGGCTTAGGACATAGCAGACACTACACCACGGGAACCTAAAAAACAAATTCCCCGCAAACATTGAAACTCGAGGTTCGGTTTGTCCTAGCGGCGTAAGGTTTAGGGGTTTCAGGCCCCAGAGACTCCAACATCCCTTATTTAAGGAATATACCATAAATCATATAAGGGATCCTACTACGATTTAAGGTATATTCCTTAATTAAGGGATATTGCAGTCTCTGGGGCATAGCATGAGTTGCGACCTGGCTGTCTGCGTCGCGTTCGGTTCGGTGTTGCATCTGCTGAATCACCACGTGGCCGCAAATCCATAGACTCTAAAGCCTAAACCCTGACATCCTAAACCGTAAACCCTGACGCCCTAGACCCCAAACCCTGACACCCTGGACCCTAAACCCTGAAACCCTCACTGACGCCCTAACCCTGACGGCGGTTTAGGATGTTGGGACTTCGGGTTTCGGGTTTAGGGCTTGTCGGCTGTTCCAGAAGAATTTGCGAAACACCGTTTAGGGTTTAGGGTTTAGGGTTTAGGGTTTAGGGTTTAGGGTTTAGGGTTTAGGGTTTAGGGTTTAGGGTTTAGGGTTCCAGTTTTGGTTGCCTTGTTGTTGCTGCAGGATGCTAACCAGAAAACTCGCCACCCAAACAAAGGAACTAATTACAATGCAGGCGGAATTGAAACCCCAAAACCCTGGACCTAAACCCCAAAACCTAAACTCTAAAACCTAAACCCCAAACCATCCGCCCAGACTAACGGCGAGTTCCTTTCTGACAAGCGCACGTATGAGATGTTTCTGTGTCAGAAGTTCAATCCAATCCGAAACCTTAAAGACCCCCAAACCGTAAACAAACCCTAAACCCTAAACCCCAGACCCTGGCTAAACCCTAAGCCCTGAACCCGGACCCTGGTTGAACCCTGAAAGCCTCAAGCCTCAAACCCTAGTGAAACCCTAAACCCTGAACCCAAACCCTAGTTCAACCCTAGAAACCTCAAGCCTCAAACCCTAGTTAGTCAAACCCTCAAAGCCTCAAGCCTAAACCCTCCGGTTGATGATATAACTCTGCATTACCTCAAGAACCCTAAAATATGTGAATAATGCTATATTCCCTTATTAATTATGGGTGATGTAGGATTTATATCTTCAACTCTAAACCCTAAACCCTATAGATCCCTTAAGGGTGCCCTTTAAAGGTACTCTAAACCCTAAACCCTGAACCCAGACCCCAGTTAAACCCTAAAAGCCTGCATCCTCAAACCCTATTTCAGCCATGTAGGGTTTTTCTCATCAACAGCTAAACCCAAAACCCCAAACCCCAAGCCCTAAACCCCAACCCTAACCCTAGTTCAGCCTTGTACTCGCTTTAGGGGCCCCAGGCAGTCTCGCCCAAGCGACGAGGCTGTCCGGGAAAAGCTCCTCTCGACTTTGTCTGTCTGGTTCTGAGTACTATACTGAACTTGGAACCCTAGCAAAAATTTTCATTTTAGCTGTTTCTTAGGGATCATTATAACCAAAAATTAAAAAAAAATTCTAAGTACCCCTAAGAGTAGGGAATGGGGGATGGATCCCTATGATAGTCCCTTAAAGGGTTTAGGGTTTGGGGGTTTAGGGTTTTATAGTGGTACAAATAGTTCTTAGTAGGGAATGGGGGAATGGGCTATTGATCATAGGGTTCTTAGTAGGGAATGGGGGAATGGGCTATTGGGACTAATGTAAACCCTAAACCCCTAAACCCTACACCCTTTAAGGGACTATCATAGGGATCCATTCCCGCATTCCCTACTAAGAACCAGACAGTTGCGCGTCACTGGAGCCACGATCGAGCGTGTGGAGTAGGGTTTACTTGGAGGTTCATGGGTAGTTATAAGTAGGGTTAAAATTAGGTAAGAGCGCCTGGTACGTGACCGGCGTTTTGTGGCGTAGCTGAAACAGGCAATGTGCTAAAACCTAGGGAAAACATGTATTATGACTAAAAAGTTGTGCCAGGAGAGGCGGAGAATCCCTGTGACAGGTCGATCGTTTTAGCGAAAAAGGTGTTGCCGCTGCAGTAAAAGCCACTTTTGCGAGCACCGCGCTGCGCAAACTTGGTCTGAGTGGACGTTAATATGGTTGACCCATGCATGGATGCTCTGCCTCAATGAGATCTGGTCTGAGTGGACGTTAACATGGTTGACCCATGGATGCTCTGCGTCAATAACATGGACCACCCATGGATGGTTTCGACGTGGGTTGTAGCAAGTGCCGAACACACCGTAATTACCGGTATGTTCGGCATATGACCCTAAGGAAACATGGCTTCGATCAGAACTAGAGCTTGGGCCTGCCTGCGACAGAAGTCCGCAGTTCTGGGAGTTAAGGGTCGGGACTGGCCGGAATTAGCATTGAACCTCCAAGTAGACCCTAAACCCTATACCCTTATAGAATCCCTATAGATCCCTTTAAAGCCTTAAAGGAACCCGACTTATAACTACCCCTCGACCTCCAAGCTTCTTCATGCTGTGAAGTCACTGTGGACTTCGGCTAAAGGCTTTTGGGTTTTGTTTTGGGTTTCGGGTCTTAGGCTTAGGGCGGCCAAGAGCACCAGAAACCGAAGCCCTAAACCCTACACCGTAAAGCTGACTGAAGGCTAAGCTAAGGGCAACTTTTTTGAAAGTCCTCGGCAAAGTGCCCGAGAGTGGAAGAAGCTATGCTGCCGAAGCCTGCACGCAAGGGACGTGCCCTAAAGGGTTTAGCGTTTAGAGTAAGAAAAGGAACTACATTGGGAGGCATAAGCAAAGCTAGAATCTACGCACTACTAGGCTGTTCAGTAACCCACTGGGAAAAAGTATCAACTTTTTTATGCTTCTTATTATTCTAGGAAGCCAGAAACCTGAAAGTAAAAAAGTGTACCACGGAACAGCCTGGACCCCTAGGCCCTAAACCACCTCAAGTGCTACTAAGCAAGAGCCCCAAGCTCCGAAAGCCCTAGAAAGTCGGAAGGCCCTGCCCAAAGAGCCCAATACCCCTTAATTAAGGAATATAGCTTAAATCATAGTATGAGCGGTTGTCAAAATTAAGGTCCCTTTTTGGGTGCCATAAATAATAGGTGCCTCATTGTAATAGGGATGCAAAAAGGGACCCTAATTTTGACAACCGCCCACATGAATCCCCTTATAATTTGAGGCATATTCCTTAATTAAGGGGTCTGGGGCTCTCTGGGTGCACCCTAAAACCTTAAAACCCAACAGCCCAAAAAACCCCGACCCTTTCAATCGCCCTCAGCTTCGGCACTCGAAGAGGCCTCCTAATATAAAGGCCTCAATACTGTTAATGATAGAAATACTGCATGATCCATAATTGGGAATATACCAAAATTCCCATATATGGTGCAGCGCTGCTAGGCCCCCCCTCCCCCCCCCACCCCATGGTATCCCCCCCTTCCCCCCTGTGGTTCCCTGTGGTGTGGGTTGTGGTTGCGGTCGGCTGCGCCGCCGACCATGGCTATGCGTCCGGTTGCTAAGGGTTTGGACCGCAGGATGTGATACAGTTCTATTGAACTCCGACCTGCCCTGAGCTCCAAAGCCAATGATAGTGATGAATATGATGGTGATGATAATGACGAAGATGGTGCTCATGATCCCCATCCGCACTCTCATCAGGTCCCTTGCTCAAAAGTCCCGAATGAAAACCATTCAAATACGTGCTCAAGCTTACTTGTAGCGAACCCAACCGAAACTTGGCTTGGAATGACAGCGGTCGATATGGTTTTCGCAAGAACATCACAAGCCAAGCACGGTTTTCAACTAGATAAAGCGATGAACATGCGGTGCCGAAGCCCAGAGCAACATAAGAGCAAAGGTACCACCAATAGCACCCGCGTAATTTCCACAGTAAGGATAGGGTTTCGAGGCAAAACAGAGTAACATTATTCCTACGCCGAAGGCCTCCAAGCAGGGCTTCCTGCAAGCACTAAGCAACATGTTTTAGGCAGCACTCAGCAAGATTACTCGTGTGCCAAAATTTCCAAGCAAGGCTATGTAAAATTCCTTAGAAAAGGGTTCCAGGCAATACTTCGTAACATTACAGGAGAGCATGTGCGGAGAATGCCATATACATACACAGACACGCGGTCGGTGTGTGTGTGTGTGTGTGTCTCAGAGCAAAAAGGGAAAACCATCCTGTTCCACAGGAGGGGGGGAGATAGAATGGCCATACATTCAGAAAGACATGGTGCGTGTGTGTGTGTGTGTGTGTCTCAGAGCAAAAGGGAAAACTATCCTGTTCCACAGGGGGGGGGGTGGAAAATAGGGCAAACCATCCTGTTCCACAGGGGGGGGGGGCGGGGAGAATACAGGTCGATTGCTTATGAAGATATATCAGAGTACCTAAAACAGGATACCATAGGGGGGGGGGGAGGGGGGGGGCCGCGGAGCGCGTGACCATATATTCCCTATTGTGGGGGAATGAAGGATTTAGATCATCAACCGTATCTAGAATAGGGTTTCGGGGCCCACTATGCAATAATTGCAATCAGGAACCACCAACATAGCATAGGTAGTTGTTTAGGCTCCTATATTAATTCATGCAACTGCCGTAAGGAAACAGTATCTACTCAAAGGGATCCAAGGGTGGGACGATGAAGTTCAGGGTTTGGGGTTCAGGGTTTAGGGTGATGAAGCTAGGTGGGGTAATCCCAAACAAAGGGTGCTTAGACAAGAGATCCTTGAACCCACCTACAATTAGCCAATTTGAGGCCCCTGATCTACCTGAGCCCTACACCTCCACAACCCATAAGCCCTGAAACCAGTGATTGGACATGCCAGGGCATAGAACAGCCTCGATTTGGCGCGCCTGTGGGAAGCCACCTGGACGGCTTGCTGCTTGTGGCTTCAGGGTCTGCCGGGCTAAGGGGGTTTATGGTCTTGGGTTTAGGATCAGGCTTATGAGGGTTTAGGGCTCCGGGTTTCGGGTTTAGGGTTTAGGGTTTGGGGTTTAGGATCAGGGTTTAGGGTTCAGGGGCTTGAGGACTTTAAGATGCTGTGTGTACATTATGGGTGAGAATAAGCCCTACACAACTATTGACTCTTCCCTGTCCTCATGCCCTCAACACACCTCAAACCCTCATGAAACATTTATGGCACCCACGAGGACCCCTGTAAATCAAACTCCCAACATTTCGAGCCTACACAACCCTCTCAAAATCAAGGCAAGACCGTCAGAATATATTATACCTTTAGAAACCCAGAGCCCGTTAAGCTTTTTACAACGTTGTGAACCCACACTATTCGCCCCTACAAAAAAAACACCGACAAGACCTCGTAAACCGGCTTTCACCCGAAGGGGACCTAGGAACCTCAACACGCATCTGAACACGAAAGCTTGATGGTAATATCCCTATGTTAATTAGTACGTGCAGGTTTCACTCCTCCATGTTCATATGCAATTCCTGAACCCCCTCTGAACCCTACATCTCTGACGCCCTAAACCCTGAACCACATAAGGGTGTCTGTCAACGTGCTTCTTCGGCAGCTAAGAATAACATACCTGTAGTGATAACAGAAATCATAATAATACAAGTCGTAACAGTGATACTCAATTGGTAACAATAATGAAAGATCTTAAGAACGATAACAACGAAACTTTAAAGTTACAGGAAACAATAATGAAAGATGCTAAGACTGATAACAATAAAGCTTTACACTTACTGGACATTCTAGCCGTAGTAATCTAAGGACCTGCCTCGAGCCTTTCCTCGGGTCATCTCCGCTTCGATCCTTGACGCTCCGGGGTTCTCACTGCTCTGCTTTTACATCGGGGTGTAATCTAGGGGCCTTATACCCCCGCCCCCCCCCCCCAAAAAAAAAAAAAAAAAAAAAACACACAGTATAGGCAACTAAGTATTAATAGAAGGCCTTGACAATCAAATCAAATTTGGGTTTCGGCAGGGTACATCAGACAAGAACGACAATCGGGGCGCCAAGGGATCGTAGATGCCAGAAAGTTGAAACATCATTATCCTCATACCCTTAAGGTGAGAATGTTCAAGGGATCCTGGCACTAATCCTCATAAAGCCATGTTCCAACTTTCTGGCTTCTATAGTAGATGACGGGGGCTCCAGAGTGTCGGACTTGGTGTCCATGAGGTTTTTCCCCAAGGCTCCAAGTACCCAATAATCATATACTCTCCAACATCATAACCTACATAACTAGTATCCTAAAACCGAATACCTAGTTCTTGGGTCCTTTGGACCCTTGGGGTTTGGCTTAGGTTTCAAGCTTGGGTGCGGCTTCAGGGTGTCGCAGTTTGAACTTAGGGTTCGGGCTTTAGGGTTTAGGGTTTACGGTTAGAAGAAACTAGGGTCCTGTTTGGATCCTAAAAAACTGTACGGCGTACGGCATCCTTGTGTAAAGAGGAACCCAAAAGGAACCCTAATTCAGAGAGCTACCCATGCTGTACCCTAAACACCCCAAACCTATAAACCCTAAGCCCTACACCCTGAACTCTGAAACCTAAACCCAAAGGGACCCTAAAACCTTATAGAATCCTTATAGAAACCTTCTCGAAACCCTTTCGGATCCCCTTTAAGGAACCCTCAAGAACGGTTGATGATATAAATCCTGCATTCCCTTAAGGACCCTAAAAAAATGGGAATAATTGTATATTCCTTACTATGGGTAATGCAGGATTTATATCATCAACCGAAGGACCCGAATTGATTCAGCGCTACCCATTTAAGGTTTGGTTTGGAGCATAGCTGGGGTCTGGTGATGAACTAGGGTTGTTGGCGGATTTAGGATTAAGGGTGCAGGGTTTAGGGGTTCAGGGTGTAGGGGGTTTAGGGATTTAGGGGTTGAGGGGTTTAGGGGGTTAGGGGGTTAGGGGTTTAGGGGTTCAGGGGTTTAGGATTTAACAGCTTAGGGTTTATAGGGCCTTTAAGGGTCTAGGGTTCATGTATTTGTTCTGCGTCTGAGGCTTAGCGGTTCGGAGTCCGGGCTGAGGAGTTAAGGACTTGTAGTTTTGCGTTAGACCCTCGACCCTTGAACTAAGGGGGGCTCCGGTGCACTTCGAAGCCGAGCATCCTGTCAAAGTTCCGTAACCCTGCATTTCTATGCATGCTTTCAAACGCCTAAACTTTGAGGCCCTAGAACAACATGGACGACATCACAATCCCAATGTTAAGCCTCATGAAATGCCCAAAAAAAGGCAAGCAAGCCTATGGGAACCCTTCAGTCATAGGGACCCTTAGGGGGGTAAGGGGGAGGGGAGGTGGGGGACTGTACTTCCTTAAATCGGCCTTATTAGGTCCTTCTTGTGGGTATTAAGGGCTCCTACCCCCCTCCCCCTACCCCCCGAAGGGTGTCCCCACTAAGACCGTTTCCGCAAACCCCGTAGACCCTGAGCCCTCAATCCTCTAAGCCTCATCAACACGACTGTACCTTAACCTACCAAAACCTACTCTTTTTGTAGGTTCCTCATAAATTTCATATTAGGATTTATAATACTGCTGATGGAGAAAATCCTGCACCACCCGTTATAAGGAATATACCATAGTTCCCATAGTTTAGAGTCCTTAGGGTCATGCAGGATTTTGTCCATCAACAGTAAGAGCCTACAAAAAGTGGGGTTTGGAAGTTAAGGTAGCTTTAGGAACCTAGACCTAAGAGTAACCTAGGAATAAAAAGGGTGCCCTTTTGGGTTTAAATGGGATTATAAGGGAACCTAACCCCTAAAAAAGGGAATAAGGGCCTACTCTGGGTCCTAGATTCTATTATAGAACCCTAAACCCTAAACCCTAAACCCTAAACCCCAAACCCTAAACCCTAAACCCTAAACCCTTGGAAGTTTAGGGTAGCTTTAGGAACCCTTAAGAAGCGACCAGGCGCTCTTCCAAGGTCTTGCCCTTCGTCTCTGGCACCTTCAAAGCGTAGAGCGTTTAGGGTTTAGAGTTTACCTTAACCCGGAAGAACGTACATTTTTAAGGAATAAATAATATAATTAAGGAAATGATAATAATGAACCCTAAAAAGGTAGGGTTTTTCAGGGTTAAGGTAGGGCTTAAGGCAGTATAGCCCTGATAGGGTTTAGGCTTTAGGTTTTAAGGTAGTATAGTCCTATGAGGGTTTAGGGTTTAGGTTTTAAGGTAGTATAGCTCCAGTAGGGTTTAGGGTTTAGGGAGGTTTGGGGCTAGGTGGGATCGTGGCTCGAATCCGGGGTGTTTGGGAAAAATAGAGGGGCTTTAGTAATTAGAACAGGGTTCTGGGGTAGTTCATACTAGAATATGTACGGAGCCCCAAAATATGTTGGCCCCTTTGTTAGGGTTTAGGGTTCTAGGATGCCCAGTAACCCAGGAATAAACAAGGCTCCCTTTTTGGTATTGGGTAACCTTATGAGGATCCTAAGACCACAAAAAGGGAAAAAGGGCCCGCTGGGTAGCCGAGGGTTCACCTTAACCCTGAATAGCCTAACTGCTTAGGTTTCCTTATTATGATTTCTTTATATAAGTCCTTGAAATGGTGGGTTATTCCGGGTTAAGGTAGGGCTATAGCCGAATTCGGAGCCCGTAAGGTTGAAAGTTCAAGGCCGGCTCTCTGGGATCTGCGGTTTTCGGAGGACAGGGGGTCGGAGGACCCAGGGACTCCAATATGCCTTAATTACGGAACATTCCTTAAATCATATTAAATTAGGGGTCCTGCTATAATTTAAGGAATATTCCTTAATTCAGGGATATTGCAGTCTCTGGGGAGTGGGCTCACGCCGGAGTTCTGGCCCTCTAAACCCTAAAGTCTGAACCGTGACCTCTGTACCACTACTTCCCACACTCAATGTCATGAACTCTATATATCCTTAACCCTCAATCCTGCAACTCAGGCTCTCAACTTAACCCGGGCACTACATCAAAAGCCGCAACCAAAGCCGACCGCAATGAATCTGGATGCACAGGCATGTTACATCACGGTACTTGATCCTTAGGCTGTGCCGGGCGGGTTAAAATAGGCCGGTTCGGAATACGTCGTGGTGTGCAGCCATACAGGGTGTGGACGGGAACTGATGCATGGCTCCTGCAGGGAATTTTGTTGTTCTTGAGTCTTGGTTTCGGGTTGGTATTTTCTTCTGTTGTGCAGCTTGACCCCAAACCCCACACCGCAAACCCCAACCTCGAAACCACGGTTGAAACCTAAACCTCAAACTCCTAAAACCCTAAACCCCAAACAGTTCACTAAGCTCGTCAAGCTTGGCTTTGGTGTAGGAAGCTGGGAGACTGTAAGCTTGAGGGTTTAGGGTTCAGCGTGTCAGATTGGCTTTAGGTCTGGGGCTGTCATAATTCGGAAGTGTAGGCTAGGGCTCCGAGGAAACCTTAAACCCTAATCAGGAAAAATCTTAAACCATAATCCTCATCCGAATCATGACGGCAATACACATGGTTTGCATTCTGATGCCGAAGGCCCGAAATCCCTCATCCCTGCGCTAAGGCCTAAATCCCAGATCCGCCAAAGCCCTGAACTATAAACCGAAACCCTAAGAGCTAAACCCCAAACCCTAAACCCTAAACCCCTAAGCCCTGAACCGAAGAGTAGCACCTGAAATCCTAAACTGGGAAGACCCAGCGACTCCAGTATCCCTGAATTAAGGAATGTTCCTTGAATCAGATTAGGGATCTTACATTAATTAAGGTATATTGGAGTCTCTGGGGACCTCCAGTCAATGCAGCATCGGCACAACGCCAGCCACGAAGACAAAGCTCACAATTGCCAGGGCCAAGTAGCCGAAGAACGTGCCGGAGGGTGTGAGAGCCTTAGTTTAGTTTTGGGGGTTTTAGGGTTTAGGGCCAATTTAGGTTTAGGTTTAAGGATTCGGGATTGGCGTGCACTTGGGGTTTGGGGCTTCGGCTACGGCTACGCTTGACGTTTGAGCCTACGGCCCATGCACATGTACCCCAGAACCATACATCATGCCCCTAAGCCCTCTAAACCCTAAACCTTGAACCCTAAACCCTAAACCCTAAACCCTAAACCCTAAACCCTAAACCTTGAACCCTAAACCGTGCACCCTTGAACTGAAGATACCCTGAATGCTGAAGCTCTGAATGCGATACATCCCCAAACACCCAGGCAAAGTGGCATTCATCAGCGCTGTCTGGCACAGGGTCATCAGGATGTTCGAGCCGAAGTTTACCTCGTCTTCAGCAAAAGGAGCCGGGGGACTCAGTAAGGAGGTTTGGGGCTTTTAGTTTACGGCGGAGAGGCTTCGTAGTCTAGGGTTTAAAGGGAACTCCAGAAAGTTGGAATATGGTTTCAGGGTAGGATACCTTATAATTTACCTTAAAGGGGTTCGGATAATCATATTCCAACTTTCTGGCTTCTACTGTAAGGCATTTAGGGTTTCGGGCTCGGGGCTTAGGAGCCAAGGGTTTCGGGCTTGGGGTTTAGGGCTCAGTAGACTTCTGGGGACTTTGCAAGGGTTTAGGGTTTAGGGTTTAGGGTTTAGGGTTTAGGGTTTAGGGTTTAGGCTTCTTGCGACTTTTTGATTTGGGTTTGGGGCCCTCTTAACGCGCAGACTCCTAAGAGATGCTGCGCGGGTTGAGTGTTCCGGGTTTCGGGTGTTGCCTCAGGCTTAGGAGCAGGGGACTTAGTAAGTGGGGGTTCTAATACAAACCCAGAACCCCCCGGAGGATCCAAAAAGTAGATCCTTTAATGGGGGCTCCTATAAAGTCCCCTTAGTAGCATAGGGCCCCATATTAGGGATCTACTTTCTAGATCCTCCCGGGGGTCTGGGAAAGTATGACGGACTTTTCGGCTCGCATGGCTTGGAGCAGGAGACTTCGCAATTCGGGCTGGGGACATGGACGGAGCAAGAAGGGTTTTACAGGTTCCTTGTAGGATCGTGGGTTTAGGGTTTAGGGTTTAGGGTTTAGGGTTTAAGGTTTAGGGTTTAGGGTTTAGGGTTTAGGGGTTGTGTTTGGTGTTTGAAGGATCAGGGGACATGGTGCAATATGGTTCTCATGATTTGTATCATGTTGGCCCTCATTAAGCTGCTTACAACCATACGTACCAAATCCCATGACCCTCGAAGCCCGGGGCACAGAGAGTACAGGATTCAGCATGTTCGAGAGCTGCTAAAGCAAAGCATAACTGATCCTTTAGAAACTTCCAAACAGGTCCACCCTGAACCTTCAACCTAAACCCCAAACCCGAAATCCTAAACCAAACCCTGCACCCATAACCCCAAACCCTAGACCCTAAGGCCTAAAAGCTAAACCCTAAACCCCTTAAGCCTGACCTCCTAAACCCTACCGCCTAAGAACTAAGCCCTCTCCTTGTCTGCCAGAGCCAAGGCGCCATGGCTGCTGTGGACAGGGCCGACCCCCTCACTCCCAAGGGGAAGATCTCGGAAATCCTGGGGAGATCCAGGGACGGCAAGAACTCTAAGGGGGGTTTGAGGGTTCAGGGCTTAGGGTTTAAAGGGAACTCCAGAAAGTTGGAATATGGTTTCAGGGAAGGATACCTTGTAATTTACCATAAAGGCTTTAGGATAATAATATTCCAACTTTCTGGCTTTTACTTTAGGGTTTAGGGTAGAACTGCAGGGTTCTACAGTCTACGGTTTAGGGTTAGGGTTTTGGACTTTAGGGCTTTATGGGTTTGGGGATGTGGTCCGGGGTTTTCGGGCTGAGGGTTTAGCATTCACTATTCCGGGTTGCTGAGGAATTCTATAATTCTACTGTGTTTTCCGAAGGGGTGAATGAGGCTCCGCGAATCGCCCACTATGGTTCCACAGGATTTGGCTGGAATTGAGAGACTCCAAGATATCCTGTAGCGAACTGTCCCGTATTTCCAAAATTCATTACGAAAGGTTAAGGAATGATATTCGGGCCTTGGCATACTTATATAGGAGCTATAAGATAGTATATTACATCTTACCAATGCTTGGAATGGATTCCCTGAGACTCCAATATACCTTAACTAAGGAATATACCTTAAAGCATATTAGGGATCCTTACTATAACTTAAGGAATGTTCCTTAATTAAGGGGTATTGGAGTCTCTGGGTTCTCGCCCAAAAAAACCCAGTACCCGTTCTGCAAGCAGCGGTCTGAAGCCCTGTACAATCTTGGCAATTGTCTTGTATTCTGCATAATCCCCATAATCCTCACGTCGCAATACGGTTGATGATATAAATCATCAACCGTAAGGCTCCCGGTTCAGGCTGGATTCCAAATCTTTTGGCGGCTTAAGCTCTCACAATCAGGTCCGAGAGCTCGGGGAAAACTCAAAGATTGCAGGAGCCGTGTCGCGTGTCTAGGGTTTAGGGCGCGGGTTTAGGGTTTAGGGCGTCTCGCCGCGCAGCGGCAGTATTTTCTATGTAGGATGGCGCCCCAACACTCCCAGGGGTGTGGGGGGGCGGCATATCGACGTCTAGCGTTCGAATGCGATTCCACCACTAAACAATTGCACATTGGTTCCTCACCTTTTCCCACCCGCTGTGAGAATACACAGGCTACCACCCAAAACATTGCCTTTTAGGGTTTGGCGCTTACGCCCTCAATTCCCACCTGCCCGGTCTGTCTGTTGGGGTCAGGAAGGCCGCACCCACGCGCCACAAAACAGAGCGGGTCAGGGCAGGTGGCGCACCCTCCACACCTCACTTTTCTCCACCCCTCCACCTCCTCTACCCCCGGGGGGGAGAGGAGGGCCACAGGTGGTCAGGGGAGGCAGGGGGCGTCAGGGGGGGTTGAGGTCGAGAAAATTCTCTGCGAAAAAGGGCGCCGCGGAAGGGGCCAAATGGCTTGGCTCAGCCCTAGGGGCTGAATTCGACCACTCTCCAATGGCTCCACCCATTGTCCATCCAGAGTTGGTGTCTGTCACTGCCGGATTTCCTTCTGGGTCCAGGCACCCTAAGAAAAAGGGTGGGTACGGCCTAAGCAGGCCTGGGTGGGAATTTAGGGTCTAGGGTTTAGGGTTTAGGGTTTAGGGTCGCGGGTCTAGGGTTTAGGGTCTTACAAATGAGTGGCCAGCGGGTTCTCGAGAGTAGTGCAGATGCATAGGCTCCATAGCAGCTCACTTTTAGGATTACCTTAGAGGGTTCTAAATATGAACCACCAAAAAGAACTACTACGGAGCCTCTAGCTACACCCAGAGACTCCAATACCCCTTAATTCAGGAATATTCCGTAAATTATAGTAAGGATCCCTAATATGCTTTAAGGTATACTCCTTAACTAAGGGATATTGGAGTCTCTGGACAGGATTTGGCCAGGTGATGATTGGGTCCACGGCCCATCGCTGGAACGGAATTCGAAAGAGCGTTGGTGCTCAAGATCTGCCACATGAACCAGAGAACATAATAGGATAAGATAGGGAGCCTCAAAAATTAGACTAGGGTTTCTTTAAAGGGTACCTTTTAAAGGGGTCTTTAAGGGTTGCTATAAGGGCTACTAAGGGTTAAGTGTAGGGGCCTTAATAGTTAGAATAGAGTTTTGGGGCCCATTGTACTATAAGTATAAAGAGGAACCCCCAATATAGTCTTGGTATTTATTTGGCCCCGATAGTAGGAGTCCGATGCGATAACAACAGTGACTGAAGACGTGTCCAGCAAGGCCAGTGTCCATGGCGTCACCATAATATAAATGCCCGAGACTTAAGACGGGCTCTTCCCTTCGTAATGCTCCTATTTGCAGCTTCCCTGTCATGAACACCCCAAAACCCAGAGCCTAATATAGGGGCCTTAATAATTAGGATAGGGTTTTTGGCTCCTTAATTCACAGTAGGAACACAAGGAATAATATTGGTACTTTGTGGGGTTCTAAGTAGAATCTTCAGGCCAGGCCCCTATGTGAGACTTACACCCTAAGACATACCCCGAAGCCCGAAACTCGCGACCCTAAGCCTTAAGCCGCAGGCCCTGCATAACAACCGCACCATAACAGCAAAAGCCCTAAACCCTAAAACTGCAAAGCCTAAATTAAACCCCAACACCCGAAATGCCAACAACCCTAGAACACAAATCCCTGAAACCCTAAACCCCCCCCCCCCAAGCCCTTTGAAGGTTTCCGCGACATCCCGCGCCGAGTCGCATCAGCCACGAGATGGGCCCAAAGCCGACCTGCGTGGAAAACCCACGGTTTAAATAAGGGGAACCCTAAGAAAAAGGGGCAAAAGGGTACTACTCAGGAACCTATATAGGGGTTAGGGGTTTACAGCTTAAGGTGGCGTAAAGGCCGACTTGTCGGGCATCATGGGGAACTACAGCTTAACCTTCTTGGTTATATAGGGATCATAAAGAGACTATACGACCCAAAAGATTAAAGGTTATCTACTCTACTACTCAAAAAATCGGGTTGGATATGTAGGTTTCCGCTAAGGGTTCCTGCTGAAGCCGTCCAGAAGGGAGTCTACAAGTGACTTCCTAAGGAGGGTTTGGTATAGAAAAGCAGCCTGAAGCAATAGTTAGAACAAGGCTTCGATGCTGCTGTGCTGCTCTTTATAAGGTTCTGAGAGTATAAGGATTTTGAAGGTTGTGGTTTTGGGGTTTTTGAGGGTTTTGGGCCTTTGGGGCATTTGGGTTTTAGAAAACGAGGTTTGAAGTTTGATTACGTTATGGTTTGAGGGCTTCGGGATTTCGGATGTGCCATGTTCAGGCTTACAGTTCTTAAGGGGTCTGAAGAAGGAGTAGCAACATCCCTCTTGTAGTCCATATAGATATACATATACGTATGTATGTATGTATGTGTATGTGTATATCTGTTAAAATTACAGCATACTGTCCCTCAGAATAATTCTTGTAGACCCTCTAAAAGCGGAATGTTGGAAGGAACCCTACTCTAGCTACTGAGGCCGCCAAATTTGAGATCTTGGGACCACTCTCTCGATGCCCGACATGGGGCCTGGTAGCCGCTCACGTAGATCATCAAAGCGACGACCTTCCAGGGAGAGGTCTTTCCGGCGTAATGTAGGGGCCTTAATCATTGGAATAGGGTTGGGGGGTATACTCATATACTATAACTGTAAGAGAGAACCCCCAACACCCTATTCTAACTATTCAGGCTAAAGTCGTGTTGATGAGGCTTAGAGGATTGAGGGCTCAGGGTCTGCGGGGTTTACGGAAACGGTTTCAGGGTCCTGTTCTTATAGGGACCCTTAGGTGGTGGGGGGGAGAGGGGTAGGGGGCCTTATGAGCTAGTAAGGCTTATTTAAGGAAGTATAGCCCCCTCCCCCCCTCCCGCCAAAATTTTCCCCCTACCCCCTCTCAGGGTCCCTATGATGTAGGGGTTCTTCAAGCAAGGCTTGTTGAACAGCGGAAGCAAAGAGGGGAAGGTTCGGGGCTGAAGGCTCCGACTTACACAACAAACTCTGAGCACTTCCGGTTTAGGGTCACTTGAAGGATCAGGGGACTTGGGCAGGTAGGTTATGTAATTAGGGTCACTACAGCTTGCAACCCAAAATATGCAACTTGCCACTATACTTGCGAAGCCGATGGACCCTGAACCCCCAAACCCTAAACCCAGCCAAACCCTAAACTCAATCTTCTCTTCCGGCCCGGTGCAACTTCATGGTTTCCGCTTTTTTCGAGTTCAGAGTTTAAGGCCTTCAAACAGGAGCTTGTCGGAACTTGCATCTCAACTTGATACAAGTAAGAATCGGAAAATAATGCGCAAAGTTTGGTTAGGGTTTAACTCGCAGAACCTGCTCCCTTTGTACCTAAAGCAACAAGCACATGGTATCTCTTGGTTCAGGGCTGTCCTGATACTCTCAGCCGTGCCTACACCCTTCAGAAACCCCAACTCCTGGTGCTTACGCGCTTCTGAGTGGGCGGCGGTGGTGATCGCCCATGGGCGCGGCACACTTACCTGGCTCGATGGCTCGACGACACGATCGGCAACAGCAGTCTGTTGTACAGATGTGAAGGTCTTGAGTGTAAGACTAAGACACACGACTTCAAGCATAAATCCTGCGAACTGGCACGATGCAACAACCCCTGGAGGTTGTCCCTGCTGCACTGTACATCAATCGCAACATTTCATTGGTGGGCCGAAAAAAGCCAAGCAATGTTTGTACCACTGGTCAGTGTCAGTAACTGTTCGAGACAACTCTTGTGCCCTGTCTTTGAGGGTTGAGGGCTTGGGCAACAACGTTCTCTCTCCAAGGGTAAAAGGAGGAACCCTTAATAAGGACCCCTAGGTATAGAACCTTAATATCGCTGTTATATACCCATTTTATGGTCCATTATAGGGTAGGGGTCCCCATTAAGGGTCCCTCCTTTTCCCCTTTGAACTAGGGTCGCGCAACCCAACAAGCTGTCAAACCCCGGAAGCCCCCTAAACCCTTTAAACCCTGACCCTATAAACCCTAAACCCTATAGGCCTTAAGCCCTAAAAAACTATAAAAAAAAAAACTATAGGCCTCAAGCCCTATAAACCCTAAACCCTATAATTAGGCCCTAAGCCCTATAGCTCTATAAGCCCTAAACCCTATGAACCCTAAACCCTGTAAACCCTAAACCCTACAAACCCTAAACCCCATCAATCCTAGAGCGCCGCACGAGAAGGATGCCCTGACCCACCTGTTTACGCCCTCGCGCATCATGAGCTTCACACAAGAGCCTCCGAAGCCCGTAGACGAAGTCTTCGCAACAAGTATCCTAATTAACGTTTAAAGAAATTCAAACTCTTTACGACAAATCATCTTGGACTCTGCTGCCTCGGGATCTAACAGCCCTACACCCTCAACAGCCGTACAACTTTGGAAGTGACACTCCGAAGCCCACAGCGCTACTAAACCCCTGAAGCCCGAAAGCGTAAAATCCCGACCTCTAAACCCCGAATCCATCAGAGATACGAATGAAACCGTTACGGAGTCCTCTTAAAAGAACCCTTGCAACCGCAAGCCCTTCCAAGCTCGACGTGCCTTCTCCTGTGGGCACTGAGCCATGGGTACGTTTTCCTGGCTCGCCGGAAACTTCAAAACCCGTTGAAGAAGAGACTATGGTTTAGGGTTAAGGGGTATTATGGGATAGCTGCCAGGAACTATTCTCACATCCGACCGGGGTTCTTCAAGAGAAATCCGGGTATATGAAATTATGAAGCTTCACAAGTTCTGGGAATGGGCCCAAATGCAACTTGAGGTGTAGCCTAAATCTTTTGTGCATTGAGTGCATCGGCATGAAGGCAGACTTTTTCTGCCTGCACCGAAGATGATGTCCAATATCTGCGACGCTCAGGTGAGCAAGATTGCAAGGCGTCCGGAGGTGTCCTTGCAGCGTCTGCTCATTCGCGTAGCGTGCGTGGCCTCTCCGACCTTGTATCGACGGACTGTCTCCACCCCTGTGTCCAGGTCACGAGGACCGAGCCATCTGGTCAGGGATGCTTTCAATGAGCTGTAGTATGTCAAGACGACAGGCTTCTCACTCCGCATCCATCGGGCTCCTTTTCAGGATTGCTGGGAGTCCACCGGGCTGAGCACGTCGCCAGCCTGGCTGCTGCGCCGATGGCACGTCCCGTCGAACAGCCAGAGCCGCACCCGTTGAAGGCACTCCCGCGGCCCAAGTTGGTAGTGGCTGACTGACCTACTTGGAGGTTCATGGGTAGTTTACAAGTAGGCTTGTAAGCAGGGTATTTCTACTTATAACCCATCCTCGGGGACTTATGAACCTACTTATAGCTACCCATGAACCTCCAAGTATGGCAACTGCTTAGTTCAGAACCGGGAACTGAACAACCCCGTAGTGACAACGGGCTTTTTTTGGCAATCTCCTGAACACTAAATCATAGGGACCCTTAGGAAAATAGGGGTAGGGGACTATACTTCTTTAAATAGGGCTTATTAAGTCCTTACTATGGGTATCAAGGCCCCCCGTCCCCCCTCCTCGCTACCCCCCTAAGGGTCCTTATGACTAAAACCCCCCACCCCTAAACCCCGAGCCCCCGAATCATAGCAGCCCAGCACTGCCCTCCATCACAAACTCCGCTTTCACTTCCAGGTTTAGAGGGGCCGTTGGGTTGAGAATTTAGCCCTAAACCATAAACCTTGAATCCCTAAACCTTTAGAATTTAACAATAACCAGAAAAACCTTGAATCCCTAAACCTTTAGAATTTAACAATAACCAGAAAAATCGCGAATCCCTTATAAACCCTAAACCCTGCCCTAAACCGTTTCGGGTTTCCGGCGTTAGGCCCAGAAGCTCAGGGTTTAGGGTTTAGGCGGCCAAGGCTTAGGGTTTTTTAAGCACCTTTTTCCGCCTGCATGAAGCCAGCAGAAGGTCCCTAGGACTTAGGGTTTGGGGTTGAGGGTTTTTGGTCTCTAGGCCTCTAGGGCTTAGGGGTTTAGGATTTAGGGGTCTGAGGGTTTAGGGTTTAAGGTTTAGGGTTTAGGGTTTGGGGTTTGGGGTTTAGGGTTTAGGGGTTTGAAGGTTCAGGGGTTCGGGTTTGGCCGCACTGCTCTCTTGCACTTTGTCACCCTTTCTTCATGGTAGCCCTAAACACTGAACCCAAACCCTCAAACCCAAACCCTCACACCTAAACCCAAAACCCTAAACCCTAAACCCTAAACCCTAAACCTCAAACCCCTAAACCCTAAACCCTCATAAACCTAAACCCTAAACCCAAAACCTCAAACCCCTAAACCCTAAACCCTCATAAACCAAAACCCTAAACCCTGAACCCTCATAAACCTAAACCCTAAACCCAAAACCTCAAACCCCTAAACCCTAAACCCTAAACCCAAAACCCTAAACCTAAACCCTCAACCCTAACCCCTAAACCCTAAACCCTAAACCCTCATAAACCCTAAACCCAAAACCCAAACCCCTAAACCCCAAAACCCAAAACCCAAAACCCAAACCCCAAAACCCGAAACCCTAAACCCCTAAACCCAAAACCCTAAACCCAAAGCTTCCCGATCAGGCCTCGCAAGAGCGGAAGGCAAAGGCCACGCCCAGGAGGGCGAGTGCGAAGATCATCATGGCCTTACATGGAGGGTCCGGGGACTTAGTAACATAGTGGGTTCCTTAAGGGCCCCTTTAAAGGGATCTATAGGGATTCTGTAAGGGTTTAGGGTTTAGGGGACTTAGTAACTAGATATTTTGGAGACTTATAAGTACCATAACCCCGATTAGGATCCCTTTTCGGGTACTTATAACTCTACTTACTACCTACTTACTATGTCCCCCGACCCTCCAAGTACGAGCCCACAAGTCCCTACTCCAAAACCCCCCAAAACCCCCGAAAGCCTTGAGCCCAAAACCTCAAACCCTAAAGCCCTAAAGCTTAGAAGGGGCCCCCACCCTGTAATAGTGGTATAATAGGAATATAGTGGGGCCCTAATATAATCCTTACAGTCACTATTACAGGGTGGGGGCCCGTTCTAACCTAAAGCCCTTGTTAAGGAGGTAAGGTTGCCGGTGTTTCGGAGACGACCAGAATAATTACGTCATGTAAGAACCCTGTTTTGACTCCTTTGTGGGAGACCCTTATTCTGGCCGCCTGCAAATATGTTAGGGATTTCCAGGCGAGTGGAGGAGATTCGCAGGATCAGCATATGGCTTGCTGTATGGCGCCCTCAAGCCTAGTATTAGCGCCTTAATAATTGGACTAATTAGGGTTTTATGTTCTATTCTACTTTAATTATAATAAGGAACCCCCAAAATAATATAGGTAATCATTACGGCCCCTGCATCACCCGGTTGAGGTCACAGCGATGCCCCACATCAGCAGCTGCCTCCGTCCATACCTGAAACGCAGATTCGGGTCTTGAGGGTTTAGGGCAGTTTAGGGTTTGGAGGGTTTGTAAGGTTTGTGCTTCAAATTCGTTGTACTTCGGCTTGAGGAGCTTGCGGTTATGCGGATTCTGTGGTCTCGGCTTCTACGGTGCAGGGTCGAGGTCTCTAGTAAGCCATGTCAAAATGCCTAAGTAAGAATCGCAACATTCCTTTGTCGAGTTTTGAGAAACTAACTTGTAGTACCAATCCTTTTGGAGGGATACCCTCCGGCAAGTGATATAAGGGTCTCTGCACATGACGCTTTGATATTGGACAATACTCGGAGGCACAAGGCTCACCTCCTTAGGTGACCTGGTGCTGATCCGCTGGTAGTGCAGATGTGGAGTTAGGATACCTATCCACACGACATGGTATCGGATAAAGGATTAAGGAAGCGGCATGGGGTTGCAGGTTGTGCTTACCGTCAGAAGGTATGCAACACATGTCTGCTTTTCTGGCGATCCACGTTAAAGAAACTCTCTAAAAGAGCCCCAGACAATCAAATCAAACGCGCTCAAGAGCCGGTGGCGTGCCATGGGGGTGGTTGTCAAAAATAGGGTCTCTTTCTGGGTCCTAGGGTGCCCAACAAGGGACCATAATTTTGACAACCGCGCATTTATTAGAAGGGTATCTGTTTCTCCCTAGGGGGCTTGGGTTATGACAATGCGGACCCTTCGAGCCGCCAGAATTTTCAAGCCGCAATAGGGGACTTTCATAAATAGAATAGGGTGTTGGGTTCTATGATGGTACATACGTAGCAATAATAAGGAACCCTGCAGAATATTAATAGTACTGTTCAGCCTTCTATTCTCTCCAATGGAAGACCGAGCGGCAAGTCAACCCGCCAGACAGTGAAGAGCGTCGCCAGCAGCTTCACGAAGCCTACTGCCGGCGGCTGGAGGCTACTTGGAGATTTCCACTGAGTACCCAAACCCTACCAACATAAACACCCTAAACCCTGCTTGGAAGTTCACGGGTAGTTATAAGTATGGTTCTAAGTAGGGTAACTATACTTATACTATACTTATAACCCATATTAGGGGACTTATAACCCCACTTATAACTACCCCTGAACCTCCAAGTAAACTAAGTCAACCGACACTTTCGGCGCGCGCCTACGCCCACCGAGCTCAACGCGGCGGCACCCGCAAAGCCGGCGCTCTGAAGGCATGGGCTGGGGGATTTCAGTTTAGGATTCAAGATTTTAGGGTCTAGGGCTTGGGGTTGCGGGGATTAGGTGCTGTTGCTTTTTGTCGGTCATTACGGTAGCCACTGTTCAGGTTAAGGACTTATGGTAGATGAGCAACTAGCCAGCAATGCGGTTGATGGTATGAATCCTGCATTACCCATAATAAGGAAAATATAAGAACTATGGTATATTCCTTATTATGGGTCATGCAGGATTTATATCATCAACAGTGCCACTTAGTATCAAGCCCCAAAAAACGGAGCCCAGAAGGAAGGACGCACAGTAGGCAGAGACTGAAGGACTTGGGGCTTCGGGTCCAGGAATGTCGGGTTCAGGGCACCCTAAACCCTAAACCCTGAACCCTGAGCCCTAAACCGTAAACCGTTAAACCCTAAACCGTTAAACCCTAAACCCTAAACCCTGAACCCTGAACTGTTAAACCGTAAACTGTTAAACCCTAAACCCTAAACCCTGAACCCCGAACCCTAAACCGTTAAACCCTAAACCCTTGTGCCGACTGTGTGCTCATGACACAGCAAGGAGGACTGGATGTCCCCACACCCTGAACCCAGACAAGGAGCTTGGGGTTTAGGGTTTCGGGTTCAGGGTTTAGGGTTCAGGGTTTAGGGTTCAGGGTTTAGGGTTCAGGGTTTAGGGTTCAGGGTTTCGGGTTCAGGGTGTAGGGTTCAGGGTTTAGGGTTTAGGGTTGAGGGGATGCTACTAAGGCCTGAGGCGGCTGTGTTCAGCTTTTGAAGCTTGGGATTGATCAGGGATATCAGGGCTGTCGGTGGTTGTCAAAATTATGGTCCCTTTTTGGGTCCCTATTATAATACGGCCCTAATTTTGATAACTACCCATGTGGGTTTAGGGTTACTTCGAGTCATGGGGCTTCTGATTCAAAAAAAAGAGGCTCAGGCTTCGACGCACAGTTGGGTAGTTGTCAAAATTAGGGTCCCTTTTTGGGGTGCCTTAAATATTAGGTGCCGTAGTATAATAGGGACCCCAAAATGGACCCTAATTTTGACAACCACCCAGTTATGTTCGGTACAACCTGCTATGTTAAACACCCTGAACAAACAACTCTGTGGATCAAGCCCTTCTATACAAGAGCGGCCCCACCGCTAACTGCCTGACCTTTGGCGGTCATTGAAAACACGATCTCCTGCGTCTTCCTTGGGGATGAAGGCGAGTCTCCGGTGGACTAAAGGTTTAGGCCACTTGCCGGTGTCCTCTACGAAGCAAAGGCTTCGACAAGCTTCTGCCAAGCTGCAGATGGAAGAGGCCACAGAACTTCGCACACCACCCGTTTGGATCCGGAACTGTCCAGCACGCTCCGACCTCCTGCATGTAAGCAGGAAACCCAAAAGACAGCCTGTATGGGTTTCAGCCTCCCTCTCCGGTCGCAGATGACCTTCAAAGCAATCTTCTCCAGTGTGCATGGGATACCGGGAGCAGGAATCCTTGTTCAACTTGTTCTAATCCCTGTTGAGGTTCATGGTTGGGATAGGATTAAAAGTTTACATGTTTCTTCCTTGTTGGGTTCAAGTACCGATAAACATGTAAAATGTTACCCAGCTATGACAAAGGTAGGGGGCTTCTGAACCAAAGGTCACATTAGGGTTGAGTCTCTCCTGGTCGATATCTGGGTTCGGGGCCCTGCATTGGGGGAGGCCGGACCTGGGATAAGGGTTTACCATCAGCCTCAGACGATCTCAATACCCTTCGGTTTAGGGTTTAGGGCTTGGGGCCTAGGATTCGTAAAGTAGAACTACGGATATTCAAAATAAAGAAGCACAAGTGACGGGGCGTTCGGGCCCCAAACCCCCAGCCTCAAACCCTAAGCCCTAAAGCTGAAGCCGTAAACCCGGCCACAGAACAGATGCCTTGAAGATGTTAGTGGCGAAGTAGAGAACAGACGGCTGTCCAGTGACCTTCAGATTCGCCGGATTCGCGCTAGCCAAACCCTATATACCCCATTTACAACCTATACAGCACTTCTAGCGCCCCCATAAAAAGCCTCTGAAATCTGCCGAAGAAGATAATCCCTCAACCTTCTCTCACAAACCCGAACCTGAGAGTACGGCTTCAAAATTCCTGGGGTTCAAGGATAGTTTCAGGAATGCTTAAAGGTTCGGAGCAATGTAGACTTGGGCTGGGTAGAAGAACCAATGTTCCAATCACACTACGTGTAGGGGTCACACCGGAGTCACGTTTGGTCTGCTAAATATTCAGACTGCTGTCCTGCGAGGTTTCGGTGATTTCGGCAGTTCGAACCGTGGCTTAGGGACGCAAGGTTTAGAAACCCACAAAAAAACATCAAAGTCTCACATGCCTGGAACTTGCGGGTGTCAGCATCGGTCTCCCGGTTGAAACCGTCGATGGGATTCTTGTGGTTGACATCCCTAAGCCTACAAGAGCCTTAACTTCAACATTCATGGTGAAAGTGCTTTGAGGATTTGGGCTGTTCATGGTAAAAGTGCATTTTAAGGGCTCCTTGGTTGCACCCGTGCAATATTTCTTCAAGGATCGTTTGTTGAATCCTTTCTCACACACGCACACAACTGAAGTGTTCGCAGCAGCTCTTACCACTTCACGGATCTGCGAAACCGCAGACACTGATATACAGTGGCAGCAGGATCAGCGAAAGCCAAACCCGACCTCCTAAACCCCAAAACTTAAACCCCCCGCACACTACTACCTAAACCCTTGACCCCACGCCCCAAACCCGACACCCCAAGCCCGAAAACCCCTTTGCCTGCTGGAGGAAGACGAGACCACAGCCGATGACCAGAGGCCGCGGGTATCGCAGCGTATCCTGGGTGTAGGATGGGGTCCTACACTATCCCAGACACTCCGTGATCCCTTAACGCAACATTTCGGGCTGAAGTCAAGCGATATCCCTCGATAAAACCCTGAATAGAGGGGTCCTCCTATCACTTCAGGAATGCCCTTTCATCACAGGGAGCCGCTCAATCTCGAGGCCAACACTTGGACCCAACAAAGCCCTGCTCCAGAAACCTCGACGACATTATTAAAGGCCCCAATACCCAGCCCAAAAGCCCCAAGGGCTTCGCAGAGCTTTGAGTTTAGGGAGGGATGTGGGCCCACTCAGTAATGGTTGAAAAATATTCCTTATATAGGTATATTAGGACCTTACAGTAACAGTAGCCCTATTATAGACTCTTACTGTACGGGGGCAGTACCCAAGGTATCGGTAGTTGTCAAAAGTAGGGTTCCTTTTTGGGGGACCCTGAATATTAGGTGACGTATTATATTAAGGAACTAAAAAGGACCATAATTTGGACAAGCACCCGTATGAGTCGGTATGAGGTTTGGCTTTGGGTCATCGTCTTGGGTTCAGGGTGTGGTGATTGGGTGGTTTCTGCTGCAGCTGAGACTTCCCGCAGCCCGAAGGGTGCCGAAAGGTTGTGGCGATTGGGGTTGGAGATGTTGGGATGTGGAGTTCTGGGCCTGCAGTAAGTAGGGTTGACAGTCTAGGGCCAGGATCCTAAACCCGGAACTCTGAACACCAAATACATGGGTAGCTCTCTAAATTAGGGTCGTCTTTTGGGGTCCCCTTTTGGGGTCCTGGTTATAAGGGTGCCGTACTATTTTGGGGACCTAACAAGGAAGAACTACGCATATGTCGACTCGTCTGTCCCAGGCACTGTGCAGTTGGCGGAGCCTCCGGCGCCGGCAGAGGCCTGCCAGACTTGCTTGTCGAGTCGCGGCTTTTGGGCATGCTTGGGCTCTTGGCCAAAACCCAAACCCTAATTAAACCCAAAAAACCTAAACCCTAAACCGTGAAAGGGTTTAGGGTTTCGGGGGTTTGAGGCGCTGGGCTTAGAACAGATCAATGCAGACATGGGCTCACCTGATGCCCGCCACCTACGAGTCATAACTCGGACAAGGCTTCTTGAGCCTCTGAATAGGGGCCTAAACAAGCACATAAGCAAAAATTAGGATAGGGATATCCCCTATTAAAGCCCCTTATAATGAAGCCCAATAAGGTAAGGATATCCCTCTAAAATACTTATGCTTATGTGCTTTTGGTGTCCCTGACTGAAGGGTGTTTATAGGGCTTCTGCAAGCGTCAGTTTAGGGGCCTTAATGAATAGAACAGGGCTTGGGGTTATATAGTAAAATTTACAGCAAGGAACTCCAGGGAACGGGATTTTGTATACATGGGTAGTTGTCAAAATTAAGGTCCCTCTTCGGGGTACCCCAAATATTAGGTGCCGTATTGTAATAAGGACGGGACCGTAATGTTGACAACCACCCACATTGAGTCCTCACTACCCCAACACTGTCAAAGCCCTACACATCTCAACCCGGAAGTCCCAACTCGCAGAACCCAAAGAGCCAAACAGCTTAAAGGGCTTAGGGCTTACCTTAACCTACCAAAACCTACTTGATTGTAGGGTCCGATTGAAATTGCATGTTCCGGTTTATAGTCGACACCTACAAAAAGTAGGGTTTGGTAATTGAGGGTTTAGGGTTCATTGACCTGCCCAAGCCCGAAAGCGCTCGCATAGCGAACCTCTCTGGCGTCACTCAACATGGTGCTGAACTCCTGCTCCACTGCCTGGACGTGGCGGTCTCAGCAAACTCGGAGCAAAATCACAGATGCTACCCTAAACCCTAAACACCTAAACCCTCAAAACCTAAACGCCTAAACCCTCAAGAAGAGGTCGTCCATACAAGGGCCCCGCAGAGGAAACCTCAAGTTGAAGAAACTCCCACAAGCGTGACGGTCTTGGGTGTAGCAGCCGGGAGAAGGGTTCAAGCACCTAGACAAAACCCTGAAGCCCAAAGACCGAGGCCCTACACATTCTTAAAGGTCCAGCGTGCTGTTTGGGTTTTAGGGTTTATGGTTTTGTCTTTGGGGTGTGGGCTTCGGGTTAGATTTTGGGCTGCACATTTTTGGGTTTGGGGTTGCGGGTGTTGGTCAACAGACTTACAGTAACGGTCAGGATCAACGTTGTGAAGCCTTGACAGGGAGAAGACTCGAAATCCATAGTCCGCTCGCCAGTAAAGCACCCTAAAGCCCAAGGTCCGCATTCCTAAACCCCAAATCCCGAATCCTCTCTAACATTCCTTCTTTCGGCTAGGTTTCTTGGGCGCTACAAGTGATACCCTTTTGGTACAGGGCCCAAACCCTTTGAACTGAAACGAAGCCGGGAGCTCTGATGCAACTTCTGCCATGAAGCCGAAAACAGGACAACTGACTCACTACGAGACTTGTGGGTTTAGAGTTTAGGGTTTAGGGTTTAGGTATACGGGTATGTGGCAGCTCAAGAAAATTTAGCTTTGCACTGTCAGTTTTGCATGTTCTTCGCATGTGCTTGCTCGTCTTTCCTCCGCGCTGTATCCTGGGTCAAGCTTTCCTCTCTGCCTCTCACGTTGCCGGCATTTTCTGCTCCTTTCATCACTCTGTCCGTCTCTCTTATTGGTTCAATCTTTCGTCGGGCTTTCTTTCTGTCTCAATTCTGTCCTTTATTGCTGTCTTTCTGTGCGATTTCTTTCTTCCCTCTCTCTCCCTCTCTCTCTCTCTCCCTCTGCTTCTCTCTGGAACACCAAGCCCCAAACCCTGACCCCTAAACCCCAGACCTAAGCTGCAAACTCTAAACCCCAAACCTTTGCACCGCAGAATCTACCCCGGCCTCCTCTGACTCTCCACGGAACCAGGCCAGGGCCTGAACACGGACGTTATGCCTTTTCAGTTCCACCCAAATAAAGGGTGTGAAATGTTTAGGGCTTCGGGTTGCAGGCACTTAAACCAGGGTTTTGGTGAATCTCTTGTTACAATGATGCAAGAAATGTAAACGGACCCTCTCAATTCGGGGTTTTAGGGTGTAAAAAGGGCTGTTTAGTTTTTTATTGTAGAATTTGGGGTTCAGAGCGCTGAGTTGGGTGACTTTCGTTGAATAGTTCGACAAAGATTTCGGGGGCTATACGGGCTTGAAGAACTGAAGTGTGTCAAAAGAGAGTGTTCTCATTTGAGATAAAGATTGTCGTGAAAAAACCACAGGAATACTATTCCCAGCTACTCAGGCCCCAACATCATGAACCTGGTCAAGAAGCTTCAGTGCACATGATGGTTCAAGCAGACAAAGACGCAGGGGTTCGGCTTTCCGGGTGTTCGAGAGATCTCTAACAGCTGAACTAGCTGCTGAACATCCCAAAGCCCTATACAACCGTCAATGGCAAGCCCCAACCTCTGAAACAGAAGCTTTGATCCTTGAACCCTGAAATCCTGAACCCTGACCCAACAATCTCGGAGCCCTAGACTCTAACAACGCTCTGACCCTAAAACCTTACTGTAAACCCTTATCCTTTTGAACCCCGCGCCTGGCGGGCCTCTATAGCAAGGGGAGAGTCACCGGCCTGGCGTTTCGGGATTGGGGTTTCGGAATTTGCCGGGCTTTAGGGGGTTCTG